CATCATTAATATTTGGTTGCGCTCTGCACGCAAGCTCAGCATAGGCCCGTGTAGTTTTGATTATATTACCAAGATCTGCAATAAATTCGTTAGAGCAATTTGCTTGTTTACTTTCTTTCATGTGACCATTTAAATTTCACTTCTTAAAGCAGCAGTATAATAATTACATAAACCCAACAAATTCCCTAGTGCTTCATATGCAGAAGGGGTAACGCTGGTGAAACCTGCTTCGCGAGCAAAGAATACGCCAATTCTTCTATCTATTTCACTTGAAATCCATGGTCCAAGGGATGTTGAAACAGGCAGGTCGCGATTCAATTTTTTTCGTTCTTGTTCTTGAATATCACCCATGAAGTATACTTAGTTATCATATCTACTTCAACAAAAATTACAGATATAGTATAGTATAATATCTCGTGACACTAATTTGTAATACATTATATAAAATAAGAAACTGACTGTACCAATACGCGTAGTTTACAATTCAGAATGTCCTCTCAAATTCAAAGTAAATTTACATTTTTTTCTTTGTCATCTATTTTTTTGTTAGTATTTTATTATTAATGATATTAATTAAATATCAAGCACCTAGTCCTGGTGAAGTAACAGTTGCGGAAATTGATGGACGACTACGTAAGGCGTGTTAAGCTGTAAAGGCTTTAGTCGTTTTAAATCTCAATAGCATAGCAATTCTTTTATAGTGCAGTTAAAAAAAGCCCCGGATCCCAATATTGAAGTTTATGTTCGTGCTGAAGTAAGTAACACAAACGATTGCTATTCTTTTCTAAGTTAATAACATATAATCTTATTTAATATATTATTTAATAGGGCGTGCTGTTTCCACAACTACAAATTCCGAACAACCTTAAAAGCCCGGAAACACTTCATCAGAGTAGACGAGTGATTGTTCAAAATTTACCGCCACGAAATGTTCTGAGTAAGACCGCTCAAAGAACTAAAGATTTTATCGAGTACGTAATTTTACGTCTTTCGATGTATATGAATCCTACCAATGATTTTATCTGTTTCTTACAGCCGCCAATTCAATTATGCGAGAGCCATGATTAGCGATTTTGCTGGAACACTCATCGATGCTCTTCCAAGTTGTTTATCTAATTCAATTTTTGATGCGAATACTACTCGTCATATGCAATTATTACACGATATAAAAAATCAATATCCTTCAAAAATACTTGCGTGGCATCCGTATATTTCACTCTTTGCAATAGCACATAATGTAGATGTAATTTTCTTGTATGATTTACGTGTGGAAGGTGTGCATCCCTATGATTAAAGATTTTTGGTTATAGGATATCGAGTTTCTCACGTCACGTTAACCTCATTAAATAATATAACCTTAGCCTGGTTTCCAGAAGTTTTAGAAACTACACTACAAAAAGACATAACATGCATGGCTTGGAAACCTTTAGGTGGAAATATTTTGGCCGTTGGATGCCAGTAAGTAATTATTATATATATATTATTTAGGAAATGTTGGTAATCTTCCATTGTTCTGACTGCTTAAGACGTGGAATTTGTTTGTGGGAGTTAACATTTAATCAAAAGAAAAGTTCCGGCGAATCATCATCATTCAATGCATGGATGCGTTATCTTAATTATCCTGGGCATGAAAATATAGTGTCACTAGCCTGGCATCCCCATGGATAATATCCTGGAATGAAATATTAGTTCACGTTTAAAGATGAATGTTACGTTATTGCTTCACTGTTTGTGCCTTAACTTGTGGCATAACCTCATTAGCGACAGGTTCGGCTGATGGATCAATCATACTTTGGAACACTTCGTTCGGAAACGGTGTGGCTTTAACAACAAGACATAAGGTTGTGTTTTTGAGTTGGAGCCCGGTTGGAGAGTTTCTACTTGCATCATTTCTGTAAGATTTATTCTTTGTACTTATTCTTCGAATAGATTCCTTCTCTTTAATCTTATTTGTGTTTGGCATTCTCAGAGATGGTAGGATTGAAGTATATGAAACACAACGATGGACATCTAAGACCATTAATACTTCATCACAGATTCCGTCCCGGCGACCGATTCAAGTACATGCACAATTCAATATTAAGAAATTTAAATGATTATTAAGATCTAAACTCTGTTATTGCCTTATTAGACTGCATGTTGGACGGCAGATGGGCGTGCTTTGTTCTTATCATTTTATGAAGACAAATGTATTCGTTGTCTTTCAATATCACCAAATCTGGATGACGAATGGTTTCCTAAGGAAGATATGTCACATATTCCGAATTGGTAAATTAAATCTCAATACTCCATATTATGCTTTGTAGTTAACCTAATTATTTTTATTCATCAGTGCTGAAAAAACAATCGAGCAATTATCTATTGATCCAACTGGTGAGCGACTTGCCGTATGCTTCAAAGATACAGCATTACTAGCAATCTTTCATGCGAGAAGACCAACCCAAGTTTCTAGAGGTTCTAGTCTTTTGAATGTCCAAGGAATTGTTAGAGGACCATCTTGGAACGATCTTTCCGATCCAGGTGCATTTTTAGCACGAAATGATCCAAAAGCAGTTTCAATCAATTTTGCGCGTCAATTCACGAGGGGGGCATTATTGAGTTTGGTCTGTATTATTATATTTATATTTGGTATGCACGACAAAGTTAGGTTGTTTACTGACATTATTGATTTGAAGGTGTGGGAGGACGGTCAAATATCCTTTTTGCCGTTCCTTTTTCGTACTGTTGGTAAGTGAACTAGTGTTTGTGAAATGTCTTTTACCAGTAAACATTTGTTATGTTGTTATGAATTTGAATTTCAACATAGTGTGAAATTATTATGAGTTATTTTAATAAAACATAATGTAAAATATTTAAACTCGACTTTATAATTACCGTAAAAGTCGGACGCGAGTACTCAGGTATTTCTACGTACCCGTGGTACATCTGCACGGCATACACAGTGGACTTTCCAGGTAGTTAAGTTTTTTAAGCTGATGACGCTAGGGTGGTTTATCGTTAACTATATCTGCCTGGTATGATTATACTTGTTGGCAAAACCCCAAACCCCAAAAATATAATTGCTATTTATAAAAAATTGAATCAAAAAAGTGGTCTTAAAATTTTGCAGATATATTATATATAGCTATAAATATATATGATTTGTTTAAATAAAGATTATTAACAAAGTTTTTAAGATAAGTTTGGCCAGAATTTGGTATTTGGGCGCGCCCAAATCCAAACTATAATCGTTTGGGATTTTACCAACATGTATAGGTATGATATATATATGGGGGGTGTTAATAGAAACCGGGCAAATTTGTTTTAATAAATTTTTTTTTTAAACTTTAAATTAAAATATTAACAATTATTAAATTAAACTTTTTTATATAAAAATAATTTGGATCACTTGCACTATGGGTGATATTTATTTTAAATCAATTAATAATATATTTGATTAGTGGTGTTATCTATACTGCAAGAGATCTTTTGGTTTCTATTGGCGTTTTTTTATATGTCGTATTAGAAGATATTTTTTTTTATAGTTTAATTTTATATATAAAATATTAGTTAAAATTTAATTTGGTTAAAAACTATATATAGAAGCTTATATAAAATTAAGAAAAGTTATATTTATAACATCATGTTATATAACATCTTATGCTATATCTTAAAAGCATACTAAGTAAATAGGTGTACTCTAAGTAAAAATGTTTAATATCCTTGAAAACCTTATAAAAATTGAATTTTTTTTTTTTTTTTAACTCTTTGGTAATTTTGCCAGTGATCTTTAAGATTATTATATAAGTAAATTACATAATGTTGAGCTTAATATTTAGGTTTAACATTCCTTGGTTGTCTCTATGGATACCCAAAAGCAGTTTTTTATACTAGATAGAGTTTTATAATCTTCATCTAGAAGGTTTTTATCAAGTTGTTTCAGAAGTCTCATAGATCTCAAAGAGGTTTTGATTTAGTTTTGTTGAGTAAAGTTTATCTAAATACTCTTCTCCTATACTATTATCTAATTCTAATCTATTTAATCCTAATTTTATTTGGCTATCTAAAATATTTTTCTTTTATAAAAATACTATACTATCTATTTTTAAGCTAATATTCTTTCTTTTCTTTTTTCAGTTTACTTTATATATAATTTTTTACAGGTAACTTGATTCTTAATTCTTCTATACTTCTCCTTTCTTCTCCTTTATCTTCTTCATTAGTTGTTAATGGTTCTCTATTCTATAATAGAGTTTTCTTCTTTACTTTTTTCTTTCTGCTTTTCTAGTTTGTTCTAGTCTTTTTATTTCTTCTTGCTTGGATTAAGAATCCTTCTGAATTTACTAAAATCTTCTTTAGAAGTTTTTTCTGTAATATCTTCAAATTGTCTTTCATTTGGTTAGTGTCTTTTTCTTTACTATCTATAATTCTCTTCTTCAATATATCTTGTAGTTGAAGATAATTTTTTGTTAATTCTTCAAAAAGATACTTGAGATTCACTTTTCTTTTTTTTTTTTGAAGTTTTTCTTGTTTTGTTCTTTTTTCTCTAAAACTTGTTATTCATTTCTTTTATCAATATAATTTCTTTAAATATTCTTCTAAGTAGTTATTAAATAAAGTTTTTTTCTTGTTTATAAAATTCTTTATTTTATTATTTCTTTTTTTCTCTTTTCTTTAGTGATCATCACCAATATTTCTCTTCTTCTTTTGGTTTGATTCTACAATATGTATATATAATTCGTCAATTTGTTGAAAAGAATCTTCTATTTTTTTTTTTCTTTATTACGATCTCTGTTCTAAATTTTTTTGTCTATGGGTTTGGATTTATATTTTATCTTGTTCTAATTTTTTTATATAATTTTCTATCTGCATATTAAATATCTCTGTATTTATTGAAATTTCTAAATTTTTTTTATCTTTTTTTTTATCATTTTTATTAAAAAGGATAAATTTTCTTGTCCAAGTTGTTAGATTAAACTCTCTTCTATATTTCTTCTTTGAAATGCTTGTTGCTCTTCTCTTTTTTTTCTAAGATCGACTATCTAGTTATTATAAAGCTCTAGTTCTAAATAATCTTCTATTAACTTATTTAATATCTCTACAGTTTTGTTTTGTTTTCTAGAATCTTTTTTTCTTCAGTACTCGATTTTTTAGATGCCATTTCTCTATTTATATCTGTCACATAATCTGTAATTAGATTGTTTTGTTTACTCCTAAATACATATTCTATTTGTATAACAACAACAGATCTGCAATATAGAATCAAGTATAATTTTTTAAAAATTGTTTGCAAAAAGTGAAATTTCATTAGTTCTTTGTTGTTTTTCTTCTTTTTCGTTCAAAGCTTTAATATTTTTACCTTTGTTTTCTAA